TATATAGATATGAGTTTATACGCGTAGGTCGCGCGCGATGTTAGAGGGTCACCCATATAGCTATAAGGTTGCATTTAGCTTGCTAAAAGCGGTTTATAGCTTAGAGTGAAAGTGAACGATGTGAACGCCCTCCAACAACCAAAAAAATGACGAATGATTTTTGAAACAAGGAATGTTTTCAGCCGTGCACTCCATGAGCGACCATGCAATTGTTGCAACATGAGATCTTTTTGGAATTCCTGGAATTCCGTTGTCGGTTTTATGTTTGGTTTGGTTTCAGGTTTGCTGCAACATGTGTTGCCAAAAACAGAACATGCATGCATTCCGTGAAACAAACGCGCATGTCACGACACACGACGTGTTGAGGTTTCACTACGTTTCATGTCATGTTCCAATCTTATGATGTTGAGGCATGCATTTAATTTATATGTCACCGCGCCGCCTCAAAGTAAATGGAGGGTGGGCGGGTGTGCCCATTGAAAATTTTGTGTTTGCCCCTCCCTCGTTTCTCGTTTCCTTACCCTCTGCAAACACAGGGATACGAAGTAACAGGTGTGAAACTTATGTGAAACCAATGTGAACTTTGTCAACATGACAAAGATGTGAAGCACAATCATATGTATGATGTGCAGCAGGTGCAACCTTCGGATTACCCCTCGACTGCCAAAGCGGAAAACAAATGCTTTTGCGAATCGTTCCGGCAAGTTTCATTTCGACGTTTTTCATTTTTACATGTCTGTGCATTGCCGAGAGGGAGAGAGTGAGTGTCGTTGTTGTAGGGTCTTTGATGTTTTGGGTCTATATGTTTTATGTTTACTTTATATAGATATGAGTTTATATGCGTAGGTCGCGCGCGATGTTGGAGGGTCACCCATATAGCTATCATGACCCATGGAATCAAGAAGTATCCCCTATTTCAGGCGTTTCACATCAGCATGCCTCCCAGTGGAACCAGTCTCCGGGGTACACCAGTGGTCAGGTCACCATTCACCCCAATCCACTCCTTTGCCCAAACCTGGATGGGACCATTCCTTGGGTTCCCCGGTTAATTCTATTAACCCAATAGAAATTCCCAACTCCACACTGCAAGTCCATACCAATCGGTGGAAACGTAGACTCAGAGCACGGTTCAATGAATTGCTTTGTATTCATAAAGACCTTACTGATCCGGTCTCCCCTGTAAGTTCTGTTCCCAACCACTCATTCTTCCTTAACACTCACCGTCAGTTTTGTATTTATGGGTCTCCAATTCCAAGTGACCACGACCATGACTTCAGTGAATCCGACTTCTCTGAATCAAAAGAGCCATGACCCCCTTCCTCAACGATACTGAAAGGGAAGAATCCCATGACATTTCCCCCCATGGGCATTCCATGATAATCAGAGTCACCAGGATCAATGATTATGGATGAAAGATGATTGCAGGTCAACCTAGGAATTCCATTCCACTCACTGGGGATTGTTCCCTTTTCTACTGGTGTGTTCCGTGGCTTCCGTGTTGTCAGTTTCTGTAAGATACGGCCTCAACCAAGAGGCCCCCCATCCTTGTAGTGTTTGGGTCCTTGCAGTTTGATACCCCATACCCCAAGTTCCCAAGGGGTTGAACTCTGATTTCCCCAGTCCACATCTAGACAACTCGGGTCCAGCTCTATTTCCCCGGTCACCCCACTACCCATACCCCAAGTTCCCAAGGGATTGACCTCCGAGTTCCCGGGTGCACCCATCAAGACAACCCGGGTCCAGCTCTATTTCCCGCTGCCAAATGTCTGAGAGGGTGAAGTAGCAGCGCGAAATCCCTGGACCAAATCCCTGTTGATCGGACCTCACTGGTCGTGCTAAATTTGATTTTGACCTGTTTGGGGATGTTTCGTTGGCTACTTTTTGGTTTGTGACGGCCTGGTGGACCTGTTGTCCCTATTGGGACCCAAATAACGGAGACTACTCTCCTGTGTTACCCTATGGATGGATGGTATCTAAGCTGTTGTTTGCCAATGCCTACTCTTAATTTGTCGTGATTTAATTTACAAGGCCATTGAGCCGGGCGCGTGCTGTTCATCAGTATGAGGCAAACAATAAAAGCTCGAAGTGTCCCACCCCAGCCCCACTGGCGGAGCGGTGCTATCTAGTTACGACTAGACTGACTAGACAAGTACGAGGGAACCACAGTGTTTCCGTGTCCGAGTCGGCGTCGGTACAAAGCACAAGGAGCCAGAGAAAAATTCCCTGTTGATCAGACCTCACTGGTCACGCTAAATTTGATTTTGACCTTTTTGGGGATGTTTCGTTGGCTACTTTCTGGTTTGAGTGGGTCAGGTGGATCTGTTGTCCCTACTGGGACCTAATAATGGAGATGAATCCCCTGCGTTACCCTATGGATGGATAGTATCCAAGCTGTTGTTTGCCAATGCCTGCTCTTAATTTGTTTTGATTAATTTACAAGGCCATTGAGCCGAGCGCATACTGTTCAACGGTACGAGGCAAACAATAAAAGCTCGAAGTGCCGCCCCAGCCCCACTGGCGGAGCGCAGCTATCTAGTTACGGCTATAGACACGTACAAGGGAACCACAGTGTTTCCGTCTCCGAGTCAACGTCAGTACACAGCACAAAGAGCCAAAAAAATCCAACTTTCGAGCTTGCAACCCGTGGTTCGAAGATTCCGACGCATTGGTTCCAATATTTGAAACCATCAGCTCTTTGAACTCGGAACCTGTGGTTCCAAGATTGGGAAGCATTGATTCGAACGTTTGGGAACCAGCAGTTCCTCGAGGTGGGAACCCCTGGTTCCAAGATTGGGAAGCATTGGTTCGAACGTTTGGAACCGTCAGTTCTTCGAACTGGGAACCCGTGCGCCAATGACTTCTATCTCTTGGCAATTGCATCTTTGCAAAACAACATTTTTTTTTGAAAGTTTGGTTTATGTCGCATATTTTTTTTGGTTTTTGATGCCGGGATAGTGCGCACATATCATTTTTTTGAACCAACACATTTTTCAACATATAGGTCCTATTTTACGTGATTGGCCAATATGTTTTGTTCAGTCACGCACCTTCGTTTTGCCGTCGGTCACTATAAGCATGTCGGGTCTATCGTGGACGCATCGGCGGTACCGGACCAATAAGCAAAACAAAGCAATTATTCAATAGAACATGTTTTTCATGCCCGTCCAATATGCAACTTTTGCTTCCCATAAGTGTTTTTTTGATAACGGCCCAGTAAACACAATATCTTGTACATGTGCATTAGGTAAAAAACAAAGTACATGTAGAAACATGCCTTTGGCAGACCATTAAACAAAACACAAAGGCTTATCGCAGAAGCTTATGTTCAATCGGATGCCAAGGTTACAACCTTTTCAATCGGCAGTTCTTGGAAATGAAACTCGTGTCAAAACTCAAAACCATAGATTCCAACCCTTGGAAACTCATCATATTTGGACCCCGATGTTTTCAAGTTACCAGACAATTTTTCAACTTTTGGGAACCGGCATTCCCTGGAACTTGGAACCCTTGGTTCCAACCCGGGAAGATTGGTTCCAATCAGTTCCTCGAATTGGGAACCCGCGGTTACAAAATTTTTAAAGCATTCGTTCCAGCATTTCGGAACCGGCAATTCCTGGGAACGGTTCTAATCAGCTGGAAACACGCGGTTCCACGATTGGGAAGGCCGGTTCCAACGTTTGAAGAATGGTGTTCCTAGAACTGGGAAGCGCTTGCTCCAAGATTGGGACGCATCAGTTCCAATGATTGGGAACCGCTAGCTCCTAGAACTGGGAGCCCACAGTTCCAAGATTGGGAAGCATTGGTTCCAACCTTTGTGAACCAGCAGTTCCTCGAACAGGGAACCCATGGTTCCAAGATTGGGAAGCATTGGTTCGAACCTTTGGGAACTTGCAGTTCTTCAAACTGGGAACCAGTGCTTCCAATATGGTGAAGCATCAGTTCCAATGTTCGGGAACCGCTATCCAAGATTGGGAAGCATTGATTCGAACGTTTGGGAACCAGCAGTTTTTCGCACTTGGAAACCGTGCGCCAATGACTTCCATCCCTTGGAAATTATATCTTTGCAAAACTTTTTTTTCAAAGTTTGGTTTATGTCGCATATTTTTTTGGTTTTTGATGCCGGGATAGTGCGCACATATCATTTTTTTGAACCAACACATTTTTTCAACATATAGGTCCTATTTTACGTGATTGGCCAGTATGTTTTGTTCAGTCACGTGCCTTCGTTTTGCCGTCGGTCACTATAAGCATGTCGGGTCTATTGTGGACAACCGGACCAACAAGCAAAACAAAACAATTATTTAACAGAACGTGAAAAACGTCCAATATGCAACTTTTGTTGCCCATAAGTGTTTTTTTGATACCGGCCCATTAAACAGAACAGTGGCTGTTTTTTTCGCGCAACATATTGTACATGTGCATCCGGGAAAAAACAAAGTACATTTTTGGCGACCATTAAACAACACACAAAGGCTTATTGCAGGAACTTGTGTTCAATCGGATGCCAAGGTTACAACCTTTTCAATCGCAACTCCTAAAAATTATACTTCGTTGCAAAACTCGGAAACATAGTTTCCAACCATTGGGAACTCATCATTCTTGCAAAGAGGGCTGCGAAGTTTTCAAGTTACAAGGCAGAATCTCAACTGTTGGGAACCGGCACTCCCTGGAACTTGGAACCCATGGTTCCAACTTGGGAAAATTTGAACAGAATTGTTGCACTCCTACATGTGTTCATTTCATGTCCACGTACAGTTGCGCTGCAGTTGATTCATGTCAAAGGACATTTCACTTTCAGCTGCATAGCATGTTTAGGAGCGTTGTGAAATAGATGGATTCCTCAGGCGTCTTTGCATCAAGGAAAATGTTCATGGTAGCGGAGCCCTGTGATCCAGATCCTTTATTCTGGTGAGGGCACCTGAAGCTACCTTGGACTAGGAAACTCCCGTTGCCGTTTAGTTGAGCCATTTGGGTTCTGGTTGCATAGCCTTGCTTGGAGCATGGCTGGTGAAGGTGGCACGTTGGACGTGGCCCAGCTGATACAAGCAGCTACAGACGCTGCTCGTGCTGCTGCTGATGCGGCTGCAGCCCTTAGAGATGTTCAGGCTAGTCGTGGAACTGGTTTGAGTGGAAAGGGGTTTAGTGAAGCCTCAAAAGTCATTAGACAACCTGACCCGTTTGGTTCTGAAAACCACGAAGAAGATCTTAGCAAGTGGCAAGACTTCACAGTGAACTTCAAAGCTTGGTTGTTCTATGGTGATAGTGGTTTTGAAAGTGACCTTCATAGAGTCGAGACCAACTATGCCTCAACTCCAATAGAGTTTCCTAGATCCGAGCCCAATGACGTTCAAGAAAGATGCAAGCAGCTTTTCAACATCCTTACGGGGATACTTCGTGGCAAGCCGTTGCGGCTACTGCGCCAAACTTCTGAGAGAAATGGTTTCGAGGTTTGGAGAAAGTTGGTGCAACTCTTTTCACCAAAGACCAAAAGCAGGTCGATTTCCTTGCTTGCTGCGTTGATGAATATTCCAGCCTTCAGTCTGAAGGACAAAACCCTGATGGACCAGATCTTAGGCCTTGAACGCTTGAGAACTGAATATATGAGATCTTCTGGAACTGATGTGGCTGATGACCTGATGTTGAGCATCCTGGTCAAGTCGTTGCCAAAGGCATTGCAGACCCACATTCAGCTGCAGATGACAGAGCACTCAACGTATGCCCAGGTCAGGGAACTTGTCCTCAGCTACGAGTCAGTGACGACTACATGGAGCGCTGGTCGAATTCATAGTGAACTTGGCATTTTGCCATCCAGCTCTACGGCTTCTTCTCCTGCCTACAATGGCCCTGCCCCCATGGAAATTGACCGGTTTGAGAAAGGCAAGAAGGGCAAAGGCAAGGGAAAGCACAAAAGTAAAGACTCTTCGTTTTCCAAAGGAAAGACCAAGGGTAAGTTTGACAAAGGTAAGGGAAAGAGCAAACAAGATGTTTCAAAGCCACGTGCGGCTACCTCAAGTGATCAGTGTTTACATTGTGGTAAATATGGGCATTTCAAAAGAGACTGTTGGAAGTTGCATGGGAAGCCCACCAATACAAAGAATGTGAATCAAGTCGAAGAGACGCAAAACGCTGGAAGCTTTAGCAGTGGTGCTTCTTCAAGCGCTGCCTCAACAACTATGACCTCAGCTACTGGCTCTGTGCGTTTGCTTTCTTCATATGTTGGCCCCATCATCGAAGAACTTCCCAGCAGTGATGAGCTTGACTTCCGTGACCTTACAATGTATGACAGCTCTGGCCATTGCAACGTTGTTTCATGTGCTGAAATTTCACCCGTAGATGACTTGAACCATGTCGAGGAAGCATACATGTGCGCTTGTACTCACTTTGACATGTCATGCACTGATGATGATGGTATTTGGACGTTTTGTGACAGTTATTGCATTGACCTTTCACCTGCCAGCCATTCTTCTTTCGACTGCATTCGAGCTGTCGGCAACCTGACTGACAGCAGCGTGGAGGTGGTGATTGACTCGGGAGCTGATGGTTCAGTTCTGCCCTTAGAATATGCTGCAATAGGTCACAAAGATCCAACCTTTGACAAGTCTTCTTCTTTCATTGATGCTCAGGGCAAGCCAATATCAGTGAGGGAAGCTCGAATAGCTGAAGTGCAATTTGGTTCAGTCGTTTTCAAAGAGCGGTTTATCATAGCGCCAGTTACTTCACCACTTATTTCAATGGGTCGTCTTCTCAGAGATGGATGGTGTCTTCAAAATTCTGGTGATTCAATGTTTCTGGTGAGAAATGGCAAGAGCATTCCAGTCCACTTCAAGCGTAATTCTTTGTGTGCGCATGGTGTAATCAGAATGTTGAGCAACATGGATAGCAGTCCAGTTGAACATGTCAGGGCAGTTGTTTTGGGCGAAAGCCTTGCTGGTTTACAACGTGGATGGATAAGGCTGAGTGATTCTGTTTATGGTTTGAGAAGCGTGTCACCTCAACATGTTGACACGACGTATTGCCCCAGTGAGTCATTGATGTGGCTTAGAACAACGTTGGTGCGTTTTGCAGATGGCACCTGGGAACTGGAGGAATTTTCTCAGAGCATTTCAGACCTTTCTTCACGTGTTATTCCTTTTCAAACTGCAAAACCGGTTGTGGAGGTGATCACACTTGCGCATGATGCCATGGTACCACCAGAGGCTTTGGGTTTCAGTGTTCATGATGATGTGGTGATGCCAGCAAACTTTCCATTGAGATCATCCTCACAATCCCATTCTTCTTCCTCTGCATCAGCGCCTTCTGCTGCTGCCCCTGTCAGGCCCAACATGGAGCCACCAGATGAGTTGCCAGCGGCTGCAGAAGAAGCTGAGTTACCAGTTGCAGAGAGACCAGATGTGGACTACAAGTCTGTGATGGTTGATGGTGTCAAGCTAGATAGCAATACTCCCCTGCGTACTTTGAGAGGTGCTTGTGAAAGCCTTGGACTCTCCAAAACTGGTGGAAAGGCAGTATGTTTGGAGCGTTTGTGGAAACATTTAGAAAGTCAAGAGCTTATTGCTGCTCATTCTGCACACCGTGATTTGCGAGGTGATGTTTCCAGACCTGTCCATGGACAACCAGTCCCTGCAGAACCAAGTGACGCTGAAAAGGCAGAGCACTATCTCACGCACTATCCCTTTGCCAAGTGGTGTGAACTTTGTGTTGCAAATCGATCACAACAAGATGGTCATTCTGAACAACATCACACTGAAACTGCACATAGCGGTATTTCTTTTGATTTTGGTTATGCAAGTAGAAGGGATGATGATGACAAGTTGTGCGCTTTATTTATTCATGACAGGAGTTCAGGGGCTATGCATGTGGTACCAACGCCACAGAAGGGAGGCCGATACCTCAACTATTTATGCACTGAATTTTGTCGTTTCATTGTTTGGTGTGGCAATGATACAATAGCACTCAAATGCGATCAAGAACCTTCAACACTTTCACTTCTTGAGGCCGTGAAGAAGACATGTAGATGTTTGGGGATCAGAGTTTTGACTGAAACGGTTGGACCCTCAAGTCATGCTTCAAATGGTGCTGCAGAAGTTACAGTAAAACTAGTAAGACAACAGGCCAATTTACTCATCCAGCAGGTCGAACAAGGTGTTGGCATAACTGATGTGATTGGATGCCAGCATCCACTCTATGCATGGGCCCTACTTCATGCGTGTTTTCTGCATAATCGGTATGTGGTTCGTCAAGGTCATACTGCTTATGAGTTGTGTGCTGACCGAGCATACACAGGACGTTTGGCTATGTTTGGAGAAACCGTTTTGGGTTTCCTAAAACAGACACACAAGGGTGCACCTCAGTGGACCAAAGGCGTGTGGTTGGGAAAGACTTTGAGCAATGACGTTCACATCATTGCCATACCCGGTGCTCAGCAGTTGTTTGTCACAAGAAGCGTTAGACGCTTGCCTGCCTCAAAGGCATGGAATGGAGAGATGATTGGAGGTGTTGAGGCGTGTCCATGGCAGTTTAGCTATGCCTCTTTAGGCTCTCAACTTGTCCTTGCAAAACGTATAGCTCCTCCTACTCCATCTCCTTTGACTCCTGCACCAGTGAGAGACTTTGATGCTGAGGCAGTTATGAACTTGCCTCCAACACCAGATGAAAGACCACATGTACCACGTTTGGTTGCGCCACCACAAAGTGCTGTTGTTGCAGGTGATACAGTTGGTGATGAAACTATGGAAGTGACAGCTGAGGCGGGGGTTTCAACAGCGCTTGGAGCAGCTGTTCCACAAACCCCACATGATGTTCAACAAAGTGATCCTGCTTCAGGTTCATCTCTGGGAGATGCGCCTTTGGGAGCAGAGACGTCAGCTGTTGTCCACCCTAGAGATGGTGGAGATGAGTCAGAAAGACCTTCAAAGCACCAACGTATACTTGCTTTCTTTGAACACGAGGACCAGCCAAATGAAACGCAGTTCGACAGTGAGGACCTTGATGCGCTTGAGTCCTATGACTTTGACTTAGATGAAACTGATGACTCTAGTCATACTGATGCAGAACTTCTGGAACAGTTGTGTCTTCCTTTCTCTACTTTGGAACCTTCTCTTCCTGACCATGAGTTGTTGCGGTTGGACCTGATTGCAGACCAGTTGGAAATCAAACGTCTCAGGAACATGGGAGTTTTGATCCCTGCCAATGAGTTTGACTTCAAGGGTGAGAAGCACAAAATGTTGACCACTAGGATGGTAAGAACTTGGCGTGACAAGACTTTGAATGGTCAAAGAGTTTGGCTTAGGAGATCAAGGTATGTTGCACGAGAGTTTGCATGGCTATCTCCAGATCGTCAAGATCTTTTCAGCCCAGCTTCTTCAGTTTTGACTGTGAGGTTGCTGCCGTGCCTCTACATGAAATGGAAACCTATGGGTTACGTGCTATGCTCAATCGACACTGGTGATGCCTTTCTTACTGTGGAGCAAAAGGAATTGACAGAAGTTGTTTGTGTTGATGCCGCAGGTGCTTCAACCACGTACGTCTTGGGACGTGTTCTACCTGGACAACGGAATGGCTCTCAGATGTGGCATGAGTCTTTTAGCAGATTCTTGCAGACCGAGCTGAAGATCTATGAGTGTGAGCCGTACCCATGCTTGCTGAAGTCACCCAATGCTGAGTGTGCTCTACTACTTCATGTTGATGATGTTTTATGCCTTGCACACCATGAATACTTGCGTAATGTGCTGGAACCTGCGTTGAGAAAGAGATACAAAATCTCTTTGGAAGTACTTGGAAAGCCTGGAGATGAGTTGACCTTCTTGAAAAGGAGGCACATGCTTTTGAGTGAACGTGAGTTGGCTATTCAAAGCCATCCCAAACACTTGGGAAAGCTTTTCGAGATGATGAAAATCAACAAAGGCCTGAAGCCGAAACAAGTGCCAGTCCACCAATTGCTGGATGAACCAGACGAAACGGAGGAATTGCCACCGGACAAGGCCAAGACTTTTAGGTCATGCATTGGCATCTTGCTTTACATTGCCAGTGACTTTGTCGAGTGCCAGTACGCAATCAGAGGGTTAGCACAGGTGATGTCAAAACCAACTGTGCAGGCCTTCATATGCTTGCGCCACCTTTGCCTGTACCTCTTGGGTTGTGTCGACCAATGCACTGTGATGACCTACAATGACCACCAAGGACTGTTGCACTACACGCCAACTGAGTACACCATGGAAGTTTATTCAGACTCAGATTGGGCAAAACATAGAAGTACACGCAAGAGCGTTTCTTCAGGTCACATATGTCTCTTTGGCAACCTCTTGTACTCCAGCTCGAGGACCCAGAAAACGATAGCACTGTCTTCAGCAGAAGCGGAAATCTATGCCGGTGTTTCAGCATGTTGTGATGGAAAACTTATGCAAGCCTGCATTCAATTCTTGTTGGATGATGGCATCAAGGTGGAGTTCACGCTGAACTTGGACAACTCTGCTGCCAAGGCCTTCTTCTTTCGCTCAGGCGTTGGGCGAATCAGACATATTAGTGTTAGAGTTCTTTGGTTACAACGCGAAGTCAAACTTGGTTTGATTGCCCCTTCAACAGTGTCAACACGAGACAACACTGCAGACCTTGGGACCAAAAGACTGAATAGAGACAGAATGCGATATCTCATGAACCTTTGCAAAGTATATGATTTATCACAATCTACATATGTTGGACAAGAAACAGTTGACAAGGTCCACCAAGCGGAAGCCATGTCAGAAGGTATCAGGTTACTCAGAAACAATGGTTTGAAAACTGGTGCGGCCAAGTCAATTATGCGAGTTCTTTTGCTTGGCGCCTTGGGTCTGCCCTGTGAAGCTATGAGCTCAGCTTCCATTGGGAATGGTGGCTATGGAACTTTCGCTACCTTTGCAGTTTATATGACAGTCATCTGTCTGGTCGCTGGTATTTCTTTTTACCTTGGGACACAGTTTGACTTGCTGAAGGACGAATATAGGCGTCTTGTGGTCAGCCAGAACCTCAAGAAAGTTTTGAAGTTACTCAAGCGTGCGCAGTCGCGCATGACAGGAAACCAAGAGACTGATGAGAGCGAGTCTGTTGGAGAAAATGATGAAGAAGAAATGATTGAGACGGATGCAGAAGTCGAGGCCAGATACAAATCATCAGAGCTTTGTGAAGTTTCAGATCCTGAACTGTGGATGCACTTCAATCATGGTGAATCCCCTCTCTTCTCTTCCAATGCTTCTGAGGATCAACCTACTGGCCACAGTGAAGCTTCTTTGCACCAGCAAATGGCCGAGACGAATGCTTTGCTTCTTGCTCGTGAACAAAGACTTGAAGCTGAATGGGATGAAGCTGAGATGCGCAATGATCGAGAGACCATGCATGAGATCGAAAACATGATCATCGAGACCCGCAACTTGCGCTACAGCATCTAGTGGCGATGCAATCAAAGCATGAGTCTTGCAAAATGCCGTGACAGTCCTTCAGAACTTGTCAATCTACCTTGGATGACTGAGTTAGACCGTTTAGAGTTTTTGTAAAGTACAATTGAGGAAGTTTGGATGAACCAGCCCGTTGCAATATGGCTTTGTAGACAGCCATTGGTTCATTTCAATTCAATTCATTTCAGTTCTTCACTAACGCTTGAACTGAGGCGGGGTGAACAGAATTGTTGCACTCCTACATGTGTTCATTTCATGTCCACGTACAGTTGCGCTGCAGTTGATTCATGTCAAAGGACATTTCACTTTCAGCTGCATAGCATGTTTAGGAGCGTTGTGAAATAGATGGATTCCTCAGGCGTTTTTGCATCAAGGAAAATGTTCAAAATTGGTTCCAATCTTTGGAGACCGGCGGTTCCTCGAATTGGGCCATAAAGTTCCAAGTTTGGGACGCATTGATTCGAATCTTTGGGAGTTAGCAGTTTTTTGAATCGAAAACACACCGTTCCAAAATTGGGAAGCGTCGGTTCCAATGTTTGGGAACCGCTAGCTCCTAGAACTGAGAACCCGTGGTTCCAAGATTGGACACGCTGCCAATGTTTGTCCAAGATTGGGACGCTTTGGTTCCAACATTTGGGAACCAGCAGCTCTGCTATTGCCGCAACCAAGTCGCACGGCATAAAAAAAATCGTTTGTGAAACCTTTTCTATCTGGCGTCTATGCCGATGTAAATTCCAGTTTTTTGGTTGTGTTTTTTTATCCGAGCAACTTGAAATAACCATGGCCATCCTGGCAGTTGAACATTTATGTTGATGTGAAGGGGACGGATTTGGAGCCTATGTTCCGGCAATGTTATGCCATTGGGACCCGTATTGAGCCTCTTTTGGCGGTATGTTGGGTGTATGTTAGGCACATTTTGGCTCTATATGGCCGATCTTGTGGCAACGTTGGGCGCTTATGTCCGATCTATGTCGGCAGCCGAGCTGGTTCTACAACTTATCAAAAATAATGTGGTGCAACCTGGGACCTAGAGCAAATACTGTAAACTACCACCCAAACTAACATTTAATAGGTATCGCAATAGTTTCCGGTCATGCATGCACACAAAGCACGCCGCGGCAATTTAGGCGCCGGTGGATTTTCGGACTCATTTCGGATTGTGATGGAGGATAACCCGCGTTTTGACGAAGGTACCTGCACAAAGGATTCATGGTTTAGTCCTCGCTCCTTACACAAACAGCGAGAACCATAATTGTTGCATTCCAATCCCCGGTGAAAAACAATATATATATATAATATATTATAAATATATATATATAATATATATATATTATTGATATATATATATAATATAAATAATTATATATACTAGTGGACTAGCACATAGAATATCCGATTTCATTGACTATGCAGTTAGAATAGCCTTAAAACCATTTGTCCCCAGTGCACTTAGAATATTCCATTTTTGCACATGTATAACATAATTTAAAAATAAGGCATGGTTTTAATAGAAATTTAGGATTGTTTCACAAAATCGATGCACATAGAATAATATTTGCATGCGTTCCTATGTGCAATGGGGATGCTTTGCACATGTAAACATGATAAACATGCATGTACATATGTATATGTATGTATATATATATATATATGCAAACCATTCTTGATTCCAATTGGATACCTTGCTGGTGATAGAATATGAACCCAACCAGCCCAATTGCAACAAACCACAAGTGTTTCACAAAATCCTTGCACTTAGAATATTCCTGCATGTAGTATGGTTGTATGTGTATATGTGCTCTAAATACCTACCTTAAGAATAGCACAGTGTTTGCATATAGGAATATAACATATATATATATGTGAATATATCCTGTGCATTGCGTACATGCATGCATATGAAAGAAAACGAATGTGTGTATATATATATATACATACAGATGCATACATGTACATACATGTTGGTGTATGTGTTCACGTGCCGATAGAGCATGATTTTAATAGAAATTTCGGACTGTTTTACAAAATTCATGCACATAGAAAAATAACTGCACGTGTTCCTATGTGCAATGGGGATGCTTTGCACATGTAAACATGATAAACATGCATGTACATATGTATATGTATGTATATATATATATGCAAACCATTCTTGATTCCAATTGGATACCTTGCTGGTGATAGAATATGAACCCAACCAGCACAATTGCAACAAATCACAAGTGTTTCACAAAATCCTTGCACTTAGAATATTCCTGCATGTAGTATGGTTGTATGTGTATATGTGCTCTAAATACCTACCTTAAGAATAGCACAATGTTTGCATATAGAAATAATATATATATATACATATGAATATATCATGTGCATTGCGTGCATGCATGCATATGAAAGAAAATGAGTATATATATATATACATGCATACATATACATACATGTTGGTGTCTGTGTTCACGTGCCAATAGAGCATGATTTTAATAGAAATTTACGACTGTTTCACAGAATCCATGCACATAGAATAATTACTGCACGTGTTCCTATGTGCAATGGGGATGCTTTGCACATGTAAACATGATAAACATGCATGTACATATGTATATGTATGTATATATATATATGCAAACCATTCTTGATTCCAATTGGATACCTTGCTGGTGATAGAATATGAACCCAACCAGCCCAATTGATCCTTGCACTTAGAATATTCCTGCATATAGTATGGTTGTATTTGCATATGTGCTCTAAATACCTACCTTAAGAATAGCACAGTGTTTGCATATAGGAATATATTATATATACATGAATATACGAATTATATATATATATATACATGAATATATAATGTGCATCGCGTACATGCATGCATATGAAAGAAAACAAATGTGTATATATATATATTTATGCATACATGTACATACATGTTGGTGTCTGTGTTCACGTGCCGATAGAGCATGATTTTAATAGAAATTTCGGACTGTTTCACAAAATTCATGCACTTGAATAATAACTGCATGTTTTCCTATGTGCAATGGGGATGCTTTGTACATATTCCTGCATGTAGTATGGTTGTATGTGCATATGTGCTCTAAATACCTACCTTAAGAATAGCACAGTGTTTGCATATAGGAATATAACATATATATATATATGAATAGATCATGTGCATTGCGTGCATGCATGCATATGAAAGAAAACGAATGTGTATATATATATATATACACATGCATACATGTACATACATGTTGGTGTCTGTGTTCATGTGCCGATAGAGCATGATGTTAACAGAAATTTAGGATTGTTTCACAAAATCCATGCACATAGAATAATAACTGCACGTGTTCCTATGTGCAATGGGGATGCTTTGTACATGTAAACATGATAAACATGCATGTACATATGTATATGTATGTATATATATATATATGTATGAACCATTCTTGATTCCAATTGGATACCTTGCTGGTGATAGAATATGAACCCAACCAGCCCAATTGCAAAAAACCACAAAGTGTTTCACAAAATCCTTGCACTTAGAATATTCCTGCATGTAGTATGGTTGTATGTGTATATGTGCTCTAAATACCTACCTTAAGAATAGCACAGTGTTTGCATATAGGAATATAACATATATATATGTGAATATATCATGTGCATTGCGTACATGCATGCATATGAAAGAAAACGAATGTGTATATATATATATGCATGATTATACATGCATACATGTACATACATGTTGGTGTATGTGTTCACGTGCCGGTAGAGCATGATTTTAATAGAACTTTAGGACTGTTTCACAAAATCCATGCACATAGAATAATAACTGCACGTGTTCCTATGTGCAATGGGGATGCTTTGTACATGTAAACATGATAAACAATCAAGTACATATGTATATATATATGTATGAACCATTCTTGATTCCAATTGGATACCTTGCTGGTGATAGAATATGAACCCAACCAGCCCAGTTGCAAAAAACCACAAAGTG